GTGGGGTGCCTTCTGTGTCTGGGTTGATGGAGGAGTCCAGGGGCTCCTCAGAGGTGGGAGTGGAAGCAACGGTTAGGGGGAGGGAGCATGCAGAAAGGGGGGCTGGAGTGAGGTTGCCCAGATCGAGGCCCACTGGCAAAGGATCATCCTCCCCCTGGGTGACCGGGGTCAGACCTAGGGCCTCGATCTCCTCGTATATGGAGGAGAGATCACTTTCTGCCACCCTGGGGTTCTCCCTGCTGGCACCCGATGTGATGGTCGCCTCGGGGCTCACAGAGGCTTCAGATGGTACCGGGGCAAGAGGGACTCCCGTGGAGCGGAGATACTACCTTCCGGTGCTGCCACGTCTTCCCCAGCTGACACTGGTGGATGGAACGCACCCGTGGGCAAAGCGGAACCTCGGCTATGGTGCCCCCCTTCCTGGTCTTCCGGGGGGCCTCCGCATTGGATGGGAGGAGCGGAGCTCGAGCCTTCCGCTTGCCCCGCTTCCCCTGTACTAGGGCCCAGCCCTCCAGGCATCATCTGGGGGCTGGCTAGCAGGGGTCAGGTCAGGGGGCAGGGATGATGGCTCAGGGACTCAGGGGGGGTAACAGTGGGGCAGCACGAGGGAGGGAAGATGCCCCCTGGGGCAGGCCCTCTCCCATACCCAGCGGTGTCCCTGCCGCACCCTCCTCCACAGGCCCTGTCAGATTGTAAGCAGCAGAGGCAGGGTTCTCCTGCTCGTTTGGGCATAGTGGGGGAGGTGCCCCTTGGGCCCGAGCGGGAGCAGTGGTGGACTGGGAAGGAGGAAGGGTGGCTTCAGGTGACGGACAGCCAGGTGCACCGGCGATGACGGGGCTGGCATCCTGATGGGGCTCGGGGTCCCGGATGTCCCTCCTTGCTGGGCCAAGGAGCAGTCCCTCCAGACGTGCCCCATTGTCCGGCAGAGGTAGCACCGGGCCTCCCCCGTAGAGTAGTGCACCCGGTAATGGGCCCCCTGGTAGGGGACCAAGAATGACCCCTCGAGCACCTCTCCACCACGTGCCACCAGCGGCAGTTGAAGCTGCACCTGGCGGTGGAACGAGAGGATGTGATGGAGGGCAGGGTCTTTGCAGCCCAATGGAAGAGGGCTGACCAGGGAGATGGGTTTCCGAAAGGTAGAGAGGGCAGGTAACAGGGCGGCATTGGGAAGAAAGGGAGGGACAGAGGTCAGGACCAAGTGGATGTCCAGGTCCTCTAGCAGCTCTAGGGGGACAAACACGCCCCCCACCACCAGGCCCTTCTCCACCACCTCCTGGGTGGCAGCCTCCGATGCTAAGAAGACGACGACCTTTCTGTACATTTTGGAGGCCACCACAATGGCCGTGAGCCCCACCACCCTCTCCAACACCCGCACATAGGTCTCCACGTGGGGCAAGGTGGGCACCAGGAGTCAATGGACGCCGTGCTTCCTGGTCAAGGTCGGGAAGGGGCCCTGGCCGCTATAGATGGTAGCGGACATGGTGGGTGAGAAAGATGAGGTAGCGGCAGGCGGGGAGGCTGCTGCCACCTGGGCGTATGCCCTGGGGGGCCAGAGGAGGGGCACCTGCAGAGCTGGTGGAGGGAACAGTGGGGAGGGACGCCATGGCTGGTGGTGGGGCCGCGGCAGTGGGGGCAACCCCTGCCATGGAGGGTTTGGTCTTTTTGCGGAGCCCTTATCCTTCTTTTTTTCCCTGGCCCTTCCCGCTGGCTGGGGGGGCTTCCCCAGGGTCGGAGGGGTGAGGGACGTGGCAGCAGTGGAGGTCATCCCAGTATCCACCGCTGCTGGTGCCCCAGCGGAGGCAGTAGCAGGTGGTTCGGCTGCGGCAGCAGAGGTAGAGGCTCGGGGGGGGGGAATGGGGTGGCAGGTGGGGGAGGGGCGGTGGGGTTTTCTGGAGGGGCCCCACCCATCTCGTCCCCTGCCATGGTGAGCAGGGAGGGAAGGGGAGACACCAGAAGGAGAAGGGGGAAAAGGGGAAGCAGGTCGACCACTCCTCCCCGCTAGGCTGCAGGCAGGGGAGGAGGGCGCCATCAGGGGTTAGGGGTCAATGACCAACACTGGGTGGGATTCTGGCTGCTCTAGCTGCACTAGGGGAGGGGGGGAAATACAGCAGCATTGGGGGTGCAGTGAAGAGGGTTTAAACTAAAAAAGGGGATTGGCACAAGCGCATGGGAGGGGGCATGGGCGCACGGAGCAAGGGGCTAAGTGGGCTGGAGTTAGGTCAGGGAAACCAAGGGGCTAGCTTCAGAGACTGGGGCGGGGCAAACAAAACAAAGGCTGCAGAGGGAAATGGGCGGGGCAGGCAAACAAACTGAAGCTAGTAAGGGGGGCTGGGGTAAAAGTGGGGGGAAGGCTGCAAGGAGCAAATGGGGCAGGTAGCAAAGGGCAAAGCTGTGGGGTGGGCAGTCCAGGGGGGGGGGGCATGTGCACTCACATGCGCTTGCACAAAGTCTGTTTAGGCTGGCTGCTGCTTCTGGCCCAAAGGGTGGAAATAGGTCATGGTAAGACAAGCAAACAGCTGAGTCCAGAGGCAAGAGCTGCAGCAGATGGTAAACAGCCAGTGGGGGTGGTGGAGGAGACAATGGTGGTAGGGGTTGAGGGGGACACAGATGGATTGGGGGGCAGCTCCACGCCACACCCCCTATGTCCCTACAAACACAGTCAAAACCCCCACAACAAGAGCACTGTTTGAAAAGTTACTCAGTTCAAAAGGCTCCCTCCACGGTGGTCCTCAAAATCTCTAGGTGCTCCCCCACTGGTATATGGTCCTCTTCTTCTCCTCCTCGGGGCTTCAGCAGCTCTAGGCAGTAACCTCCACAGCAGCAGCTTCAGGAACTCCAGGTGGTGGTCTGGGCAGGCAGAAAGGACCCCTCTGAGGTGGTGATGGCCACAGCAGCAACGGCTGGGACTGGGGTCCCTCACTCCCCCCTTCTGGGGAGCAGGCCAGCAGGCCCTCCCCACAGGGGCTGTAGTTGGAGCGGTAGCAACACCCTAGGGTGGGGGGTTGCAGCAGCTTGCCAGCAACCAGGTAGCAGAGAAGGAGGGGGCGGTGTCTGGCACAGCCAGGGGAGCAGTTGGAGCAGCAGTAGCAGCAGCAGGGAGAGCCCAGGGCTTAACAGCAGCAGCCCTCTCCCTCCTTCTCCCTCCAGGCCAGAGGACTGTACAGGAGAGTAATAGAAGGCAGATATATTAGCCCCAGGTTAAGTAGGTCCCTTTTCCCTGGGTAAAGTAACAGTGGAGGTTCCAGAACAATCAGGAACTTTCTGGAAGCAATTAAGGCAAACACCTGCAGCCAATCAAGAAGCTGCTAGAATCAATTAAGACAGGCAGGCTGATCAGGGCACCTGGGTTTAAAAAGGAGCTCACTTCAATTTGTGGTGTGTGTGAGAGGAGCTGGGAGCAAGAGGTGCAAGAAGCTAAGAGTGAGAAGGCGTACTACTGGAAGTACTGAGAAGTACAAGCATTATCAGACATCAGGAGGAAGGTCCCATGGTGAGAATAAAGAAGGTGTTGGGAAGAGGCCAATGGGAAGTAGCCCAGGGAGCTGTAGCTGTCATACAGCTGTTTCAGGAGTCACTATAGACAGCTGCAATCCACAGGGCCCTGGGCTGGAACCCAGAGTAGAGGGCAGGCCCAGGTTCCCTCCACCCCCCAATTCCCTACTTGACACTGGAGGAGCTGACCTGGACTGTGGGTTCCACCAGAGGGGAAGGTCTCTGGACTGTTCCCCGATCTATTAGGTGAATCAGCAGAGACTGCGGGGATTGTTCTTTCTTTTTCCCCATGCTGGCCAGTGATGAGGCTAACTGAGTGAATGGCAGATTTGAGCCACGAAAGTGTCCAAACTGAGGGCTGCCGTGAACCTCTGAGGCGAGCAAATCCGCCAATAAGCGCAGGACCCACCAAGGCAGAGGAGGAACTTTGTCAAGATACCAATATAGTTATGTGGTACAATGTGTGTGTAAACAAGGCCTTAAAGAAGGGAAACAGGTCAATGCTGAGCAGCATTCTACTGAACTCACTTTTCAGGCAGAATGGTCTAGATGGGGCCTGGTGTCAGGACTCTTGGTTCCATCTCACGCACATTTGTGCTGCTGGCCAAGTCATTTCACCTTTCTGCACCTCGTTTGACCTCTCTGGAGCAAGGGGATAATAATGCCTACTTCATACAGGTGGTGTATTGAGTTTGATGTAAGGTGCTCCAGAAGCCTGCTCTGACGCAGGGGTAAGGCTGCTAATGGTGTGTTTTTGAGGAGTGGGGAGGAGATGCAAGCCACAAAGAGCAACTTAAAATGGGGAGGGGCACCTCACAATTATACCCACAATACCTACCTAGTCAAGTTCCCATTATGAAATGTAGAATTCATTTCATTCTGTTGCAGGTTTAAATAAACTCACTGATTTCTTTTGTGGTCCTCGACCTGCTTCCCATAGTTGGTGGCCATTTTCTCTTACCTAGTCATTATACAGTTTGCTTATTTCATGGTACAATGTAATTCAATTTCTTCTCTTCTCAGACTCTTCTCCTGGAGGAATACCTAGCTTGAAAAAGAATGCTTTGCAAGGACAGTGTGGTCACTAATTCATCCCTAGAGATGAAGTGGCTAAATAACAGGAATGCACCTAATAACCTCAGTTGAAAGGTTTGGCACTTCACACCGTGGGAGCGCAGGGGTGGAGCTGGGAAGAAATCACATCCGACAGCCAAAAAGGGCATTTTCAAACTGAAAGTGATTGCTGCCTTTTAGTGACAGCTACTTCAACTATGGCCTAGCCATCCTCCTTGTCCGTTGCTCTATATCCCTTAACCGCTACCTCCCAACATCTCTGCTGGCTGCTTTCCTGTTAACTCCATTTTTAACTGGAGGGTTCCCAAACCAAACCCACACAAATTTGTCCCTATTAATTAAAGCAAACTACTGTGAGTGAAGTAATAGTGCTGCTGTGCCCGGTTACTGTATGTGCTTGCACGTAACAAACCCAGCAACAGAAGATGACAGGCTCTCAATAACACCATTTTTATTGGAAAGTTCAATTTACAAAGAAAATTCTATTATTCATGCATATCCAGGTGTTCAACACCCAGTGAAACATGATTCCTGCCAGGAAATTCACCCTTCTGTAGAAGAAGTCTGTAAGGTTTCAGAAATGTACACAAATATTTCCTAATTTTTCCCCTACCCCAGACATCTATTTACATTTTTCTTCAATTTAAATGAACATAATGTACTGTCACATTTACACTGAATGTCTCATACAATCTATGTTAAATAGTTTATACTTATTGCATGTAGGAAAGACATTTCAGAATTAAATCCACCCTGTGTTTGGATTTTTTTGTAAATCAAGTACATCTCATACACAAGATTATTCAAATATATTTCATAAGAAGACAGTCCTTCCTGCTCAGAGCAATTATGTACTGCACAATGCCTGAATACATTCGTTTACATAAAAAAATAGGTTTGTTTCCCCCTTTGTGCCTAAAACAGAATTGAACTTTCAAAGCAATTTAAAATGAAGCAAAATGTTTGCAACAAAGTTCAATAGCTCAAACAACAAAAGAAACATATTTGCAGGTGGAGAGGCTGACAACTGGGCTCCCTGAAGTTACAATGGTTTAACGGATTACTACTTAGTGTTGATACAGGGCAAAGCCAGACTTTTAGGGCTCTGGTAAATCATCTCTAGTTTGCAAAACTGAAACCATTTGCAATTCCCGCCCCCTCTTAAATTAGCTTCATGTACACTGTAACATTTTCAACTATGTGTAGTCCTTACATCCACTTATCGGGTAATAAACATTAACACATGGGCCAGGTTTTCCTCTGTCTCAGCCCTGGGGTAGTCATTTACACCAGAGAGGAATACGCAACCAAATCAGAATATTTTCACTGGTATAAAGGACTAAGCCAATGGCCAAGAGAATCATACACAATGTCTGACAGCTTATTTTAAACTAATACTGGGAACACAGTACCTGTACCTTATTTACCTCTGGCTCTGTATCATTTTCTTCAGAAAACAATTTGAATTAAATAAATGCCATTAAATATTACTATTCACGAAGCTATGTTATTTCATTACATCAAAAAGACTCACCTCTTGTGTATGTGAAATACCCAGTCACTACAATGATTAAAAAATAAACAATGAATAGTTATCTACAGAAATTTCTAATCCAATATAGTAGCACTTTAATTCACAGTAATGACTGGATGACCCATTACTGATGACTGAATTCTGCAAATTACCAAGTAATCAAATACAATAAAAAGGGTGACTGCCTCCAAAATGTACTATTATTTTGACAAGTGCAATTTAGTGTTAAATTTGTAATATACTCGTAAAAGTACTGAGCAACATCTTATAGAATATTTTGTAAAAGGAATACAATTTTAGCAATCTGTAGGGCTTGAACAAACTTTGGGGAGCCGAAGACAGCAATAGTTGTATAGAATCTAAACCTCTATTATAAAAACATTACATTTCTGGCCCTTATTGTGTGAAGAGAACCTTCTGAATTTGACCCAGTGCAATACTGTCTTTCCAGTGCCTCTGTTGATGCTCAGAGGTTTTCTGCGCAGCAGCAAAGTGAAACTAACAAAATTCTGCTCAGGTTCACTGGGGTTGTACAGAAGCCTGAGGGAAGCAGTAGGACTGACAAGAATTTCAGTTTCATTCCACTGATACTTGGGAAAGCTCTGAACAACAGCAGAGGCTAGCAGTGAAGCTACTCTTTGAGAGGACCATGCAGAAAAGACGACTTGGTTAAGGGAGTACAGTGACCAGCAATGTGGTGGTGGTGGTGGACAGGGTAGTGGAGCTTTGCATCTGTGTGGAAGAGACAACTCCTTTCTAGCAACCAGAGGACAGTATAGGATGGGAAGGGAGTTTTAAATATATCACATGAAGTAGCCAGAAAGAAAAGGATCGAAGGCAGCACCCCGGTAAAAAGCCCAGCAGCCTCTCCCTTCCAAGTAGCTGGAGGTGGAAGGCAGATTTCTCACCACAGCATGATGCCTCCCTCTCCCTTCTCAAACCTTTCATTTTGGCATTTAGTTAATAGGTTTAGTTCTCCAGGTAGTAGCTGTCCAATAAAATTTTCAGCTAACAGCACTCACCTTATTAAAATTTGTTCAGAAGTGAAGTAAGACGACTGGTTGTTTTGTGGAGAAGCAGTGATTATTAGCATAGTGAATATTAAGTAGGTTATTTTTTAGTTATGTACCCATAAGAGCAAATACAGGCACAGCAACAGGTGAGATGAAAAAGAACACATTAAACACAGCATATGGCAAACAGATACGTTGTTGAATTTTATGATTGGCTTCAGAAATCTGGATACATTTGACCTGATGGGTTTCCCTTATTTTACTAATAAAGTCCATTTCCTATTGGAAAAATGACACTCAATTACAGGGTGATTATTGCATATCTAGAGTGGTTAAAATAATCATCCAAGGCCACTTATCATAACAGTATAGAAATTACAGCTACCCATGTCTTATTGCTTAATTAGAAAGATCATAACTTAAAACCTGCTGGCTGCTGCCCATTTTGCTATAGCTAAACCATTTTAACTTTCAATATCTTTTAAAACTTTGCACGCATAAGATAGCAATGAAACTTTAGAACTAAAATCCACACAGGAACATTATTTCGACTTTCACTGATGTGCAAGGGATTTATGAGGCTCACTACAGATGGGCCTAAATTGTGACCAAAGGGATCCAGATTTGACTCTTCCCTGATCTGGAATTCTGGTCTGGGCATCAGGCACATCTTTAACGACAACAGTCCAGAATGTAAAATTACTTGTACTAATTCCATACAGGTGATGAAAGAACAGATCCTCTCACCTTTTGTTAACAAAGCCCTTAACTGAACAAAGTTTAGAACTCCTTGAACTAAAGGTCATGAGGAATGCTGAAGAACTCCTTTACCCAGTTAATTCTGTATTTACAACCCTCTGCCAAATTTAAGGAACAAAATGCACTATTTCCTTGCGTAGCCAGCAGTTTGTTAATAAAACGTACAATAACTCATCCAATCTGAATTTTAAACTACCACCAATTAGCCATGGAGAATGTGTGTGGACTCATCCCTTACTGTGGGACCAAGGCAATTACTCTCTCAAATTATGGGCCCTTTATTTGTATATTAGCACAATGACAACATTTTGACTGAGCATGGTTAATCCACAGAATCCTAAAAAGGAAACCAAAAATACAATTTCCTAAATTTAAATTTTAAAAATCCTCAGGAAAGTGAATGAGGCTTCAAACCAGTTTTATACCCACATAACTCCACTGATTCTGGAAGAATTATTCCTGATTTATTCCGGTGAAAGGGAGATCAGAATCAGGCCTTGTATCTTTATTTTTCCTATACCAGGTTACTTAAGTGTACGTTGCAGTTACTCTGTTAGATTGAAAATCTAGGTTCTACTCTTACAGTTCATTGAAAACTAAAACCATCAGTGCGATGGGGGCAGAGCAAAGGTGAGGCAAGATCGAACAGCCCATGTGAACTATAGCATCTTGGTACAGATTTGATAAAATACATGTGAGAAGAATAGACTAAGAAACTGCCAAAGTCACATTCAGCACACCACTGACTTCTTTGCTGGTCTCGTCTCACAGGAAGGAATTGGAGGGGGTTTATCCAGTTAGCATTCAGCAAGAACCATGAGAACACATGGTTCAAGGATGGGAACAAACCCCAAAATTCACACCCAGACCATAGCATCTCCTCACAACGTTTGAGTGAGTTCAAATCCAGTGTTATGTTCTGGTCCATTTCTACACATTATTTTTTAATAATGATCCTCTTTACAGACCCCACAGAATTGCCCCTGAAAATACTGAGCCTTAAGATTGACCAGTATGTTTGGAGAACAGTGAGGATTTGGTTCAGACAATACTGAGAACACACCGATTCAATCAATTCTGGTTTCAAAAAAAAAAAAAAAAAAAAAAAAAAGACGAAAAAGGTGGCTGTTGAGCTAATGCTCTCTTGTTTGTACCTCCCTTTTACAGCGGAAGGGAGCTAGCTCTTGAGCTGCTCTGGTAAGTGACGGGCACGATATTTTTCGAAGGGCAGCAGATGAGCAATACACGATATTTGTAAACAGAGCAAAGATTTCCCCAGAAGATACATTTCAGTATCTATAGGGGTTTTATATGGTGAACTCTCCTTAATGCAGCATTAAGGCACTGTCAATTCTTATATACGTTTTAAGGTTAGAAACAAACAAGTCTGAGCAATTGTTTGAACGTCGTAACTATTTAGTCATTTATTTCTATTTTCTCTTTTTCAATATATGTTTTCACCCTCCTCTTCCCTTTAAAGCTTCGAGCAGACAATTCAAGTAGATTGTTGGCTTTTAAAGCGACCACAATGTACCTGGAAGCAGAGACTAAGACAATTTCCTTTCAAATCTTACTTTTCTGTAAGCTTATTAAAAAAAATTCCTTTGTCCCATCTCTTGGTGCGCATTATGGCTTAGAGGTAAGAAGGTGCATTGCGTGCTAACCGGCCTATTTTGTGCCTGTTGACTTAATTGAACTAGAATGTAATTTTAAATTAGGTAAATGTGTTTCTTTTAACAAAGACCCCAAATTTCCATTTAAAAGTAATACTATTTAGAACAATCAGGTTTGTAATATGGCATTTTCTCTGATCTAGGTCGAGCGAAATGTCACATCTAACACAAAAGATTTTTGAAATAAGCAGGTAATAATTTTTGAGATGGTCTTTTGACTACCGTGTCTAAGAATGGTCCAAAAGAAATATGGGCTCCCATTCCACCCGAAGGCCAAATTCTGATCTGAGTTTGGTTCCACAAGTTGCTAAGCACCACCTGAATGGTGCTGAGGACCCCTAACTCTCAGACTTCATGTGAGGTTTGGGGTCATCGCATTTGCAGGATCAGACACTCAGACTGGTTAAACGCCTGCTGAAGTCCACAGGAATCAGACAGGGTGACAGATCTGAATCAGTCAATTCTGCACATAGGAACAAACACTTAATGGCTCTACCACCAGCACCAACATTGAGTATATGTGTATTTTGCTACGGGTAAGTTGCTTCCCAAAGGACCAAGCCTGAAAAAGCAAGCAGCAAACAAAGTTAGACCGAAAGTCAGTGGGGTGTCAAATATAAAAATACAACCTTTAAAACATCCTGCTCAAGTATTCCCTTACTGAGGGCCAAACGATCGTGTAACCATGGCAGGGTGAATGGAAGATAGGTACACACTTTTCAAATTAATCCTACACGAGACTGGAGTCTAGTTTTGTTACTATTGAATGCAATGGCAAATTCTCACTGATTTCAACAAGAACAGAATCCGATAATAGGCTCTGTTGCTAACTAAAATCAAAACAGAAGCAAAAACAAGCGTAGGTTAATTTTTGAGAAGCAGGAAATACTTTACATCATCATCTATGCAGAAATAATTATTCCCTGCTAGTTTTATCACCACTTGAAATGAATGCATTGCAGATTTATTTGAGAGTGGTTAAATTCTATTCATGTTAAGGTATGAATCAATTCAGCAAAGAACATGCCAAACTTCTGCCAAGTTTTATGCTTTCTCTTTAATTTCTATCTTCTATGTACCAGGACCTACAGGTCAGATAGGCTTCAGATCAGATTCACATTCACTGAGAAGTTTAATCTGGTTAACATCAGGATTAGCCGGTTCCATATAGAAAAATCAGTATATTCCCTTTTGAGTTTCATCCTTCTAAAGTGAGATATCATCAGCTGGGTAAGGTGGCTTCCTGGCTACACTGGAGATGGAAACTTGTATGCAGCACAAGTTCTTGTGGCTGTTTCTAAAGAAAAGACAGTGTCCTTCTGCAGAAGGGATTTTGCCATTCCTCAGACGTCACAATTTGCCTCTGTCAGAAGTGAACAGACAGACTTAAGCAATCACTTAAGAAAATGTAGAACATCAGTCTCTTAAAATACTTCACATTCCTCTGTAGTTGGTTATGCAAAAAACTACATAACATGCTTCTCAAAAAACCGTCTTATATTAACCATTAATAAGCCTTTGATTTTTATATCAGGGGTTCAATTCATTTTAATAAAAAAAATCTTTGCTCGATATTTATGTTGAACATTGAAATAAATATTACACAGAGGATACAATATTAAAGCTTACAATCCTATGAATACAATACTGAAAGTGGCCAACTCTGTTTTTATGCCATACCTCTAAAAGCTGAATAAGACTGACAGAATAGAAAAACTGTTTCAAATGGAAACAGCATCTCTGTACTATAATATCCTAAAATATTTCCTTTTTCTGGCAAATGCTGTCTCTCCATATTTGGAGAAGTAAATCATCATGAAGCCAAGGTAGCCCAACAAAGCTTCTTCACTTTCCCATATTACAATAGAGATTTCCTTCAAAAATGCTGAACGTATAATGTTTATTTTAAAGAGTTGCCCATATGTTGAGTTACTGAGTAATTGGCCTCTTTCTTGTGAGCCAACTGGCCTCTGTGGCTTTATTAATGCCCCCATCACCTCACTTAAAGAAAATACAGAGCAGTCAGTTGCATTTTCTTCACTGTTCATCATAGTCTGCTTGTTGACTCTGATCAGAACCCTCTCCCTCTGTCACTCTGCAAACTTCAGATGGCAAGGAAGACTGAGGAATGCAGCTGAAAGTATGAATGCTGTGTGGATCAATCGGTGGGACCAGTGTAAGTGACTCTACGCTCAGTGCATCTGTATTGTCATCGGAGATTAGAGATATTGTGGGCTGCTGTGCAGGAATCAGGCTAGGGGATAGGTTAGCTGTTTCCACTTCAGGGTTCTTTACAGAGTTCTTGCCAGATTTTGAGGCAGCTGAAGAGGTTTCATCAACCAACATCACCTGACTGGAAAAGGTCATGGGAGGCTGTTCAAGAGCTGAAGAGTCACCTACTAAAGAAAACATTAGGCAGCAGTTAGCATTTCAGTTGTGCTCAATACACATGACAAACACCAACAGTATAAAGCTCTTTACTTACTACTTAAACTCAGGAGGAAACCAAAGATCTGTGAAGCAGTATGTTTACACATGTACTCTGTGATCATGTAAATAATGAAATACAGGAAATATTTAGTAGAGATGTGAAATCCCAGCTGTAAGCTTTTTGAATTGACAGTTATTAAATACTCTATGTGTAAGTAATTCATTTGAAATGTGACAGTGTGACATCACTATTATTTCTGGTGGGATGAAGTGGAGGAGAGTAGTGAAAAAAGCTTTTCTAGAATTTAGCATAGATTAGAGCAACCAACATAAACCCACATCAGGAAGTTCTCTGGAAACAGAAAACTGTAGAATTCATTTCCCATGAAGCAACTTGGTTCTAAAGAAGCTGTGAAACAAACAAATGGTAACTTACATCAATTCAACCATGGGAGAATAGGAAGGAGAATAATTCTACAGAACTGTTCGATTAATGCAGATACACAGGACTGTTTATTCCTCTTGCACTTTTGTTTGCTCACTGAGGCAGCACTGAGCAAACAAAATGAAGGTGGCTAGAAACAATTACACATAATAAGAAGCATTTTAATAACATTCCTTTTCACCTCTTTCTTAAAAATCCTAAATAAGTGATGGAAAAATTGCTAATTTGGCTTCAATGGATATTTCAGAGGTGAAAAACCCCCAATTGGCTTATAAATTTTGTCCTATATTAGAAAGTCTCCCAGGTCGGGCCAATATGCATCATTTCAGATTACAGTAACTAACACAAATGGAGTAACACAGGTAACCGGCTACCAGACTATTTACATGGCTCTTCATTTCAGAGACAGCACGTCTAAGTGCACAAGAAAATTCTGCAGTCTGCAGAAAATTCTACAAGGCATTCTAGTGAGTAGAAAGAAAGAGGACTGGTTTTTTTTGGTTTTTTTGTTTTAACTCCAGAATGACGTTTAAAGACACTTCAGTTTCAATATGAATTCCAGTTAATCCTGTAAGAACAGAAAATATAAACTTAAGGCAAAACACAAGAAAAAAACCATAAGAGCTTAGAATGGAATGAAGAGATAAGAATGGTCACCCGAGAAAGAGAAAATGAGTAGTTTGGGTGTGGGTGAGAGACACGGTTTTTATCCCTTCCATTGTAAAATTCTCATCTTTCTGCTAACAAGACTCCAAACAAATGTATATTTTCACTTCAGAAACCACTTCATTTCACTTTTGCTGACAGTCTGCGGGCTACAGCTTCTTTTTTTTTTTTTTTTTTTTTAAAAGAAAAACAAGATTTATAAATTGTAGCAAAATCTTGACTCTCACTTTTTTTCAAGTGTCACCACTAACTGCCTTTTGAAAGACAGTGCTGATGCAAAATAACCCTGCAGATTTTTCTTATTAGCTGTGAAAAAAAACTTTGGGGAGAATGTGGTAAACGATATTAGAGGAAATGATGTAAGACTTGCATGAAAGACAAAGAATTGCTAAGAAAATGTTTCAGAGTAGCAGCCGTGTTAGTCTGTATCCGCAGAAAGAAAAGGAGTACTTGTGGCACCTTAGAGACTAACAAATTTATTTGAGCATAAGCTTTCGTGAGCTACAGTTGAACATGAATTTTTATTTCTCTGAATTCAAAGGCAATTACTAACATTTAAACAAAGTCCAACCAGTAAGTCTGTTTTTACTAGTGTAGTTGTTTAAATGTCTGCAGTATTTATTATGATAGTTTTAAAAAAACATAAGGTCCATGACTAAACAAATTTTAAATTTCCATTATTTTTTACCTCAATCTGGGCTTTTGACTATCGTGAGAACACTCACTAAAATGTATTATTTAGACACATTAGTAATTTGGGTAAATGTAGTTTATCAATGGACACAAATATGAAGTATTTCTACTGCAGCTCTTCAAAAATCTGTTACATTTTAGTTCTATGCCTGACTGCTTTAATTATAGCCATTTTCCCTTACATAGAAATTTTGGTATAATCCTAAATGCTTTTTTAAAATCCTATGGATTTAAACAAGCAAACAGAGGACAAAGTTTTTTTTTAAAATTTTACTGCACTGTGCTGTTCCAATCCTATATAATACCTAAATGAATGCTAAAATGTCTCCCACTTTTTATATATAAGGAAAAATAAATGGTTGAAAAATATTTATCTGTAGGACATATCCAGGGCCAACAAATGCAATTTTCTATTCAACACACTGTAAAACAACCTCAGAGGAATGATTAGAAAATGGCACCATAAATATCAGCAGAACAAATTCAACTTGCCCTTGAAATATTTCAGCTGTAGAATTTATAAATAGAAAGTACAGAAATAGAGATCTTCTGTACTGTATTTTTTCTCTAAGTTATATGTATTATTAATGGCTGTAATTTTTCTTTCATCATCTACTTTCCATAACCCATTAGTAGCTCCCTGAACTTCATTTCCTTTACTGTATTGCTCTATTTAAGAGTAGCGGTGACAAATTTGCTGCATCCCAGCAGGGCACCTGCCAATGCTAACGATGGATTAGTGAAAATATAGCCCCTAGTAGGTGCAGACAATGAACGTCAGCATAGGGGTAACTAGTACTAGCATGACAAAAGTTTTTGATTTCTCTAATGGATGTCGGTAACTTACATCAGTTTAAAAGGTAAGATCTATGTCTAATTTAAAACACTCCTCCTTACGAGGTATAAAATATTTTAAAGGCTAGAAAAAAAATCACATGATCTTAAGTTATCAGGCAACCAAGTTAATAAGGATGCAAGGGAACAGAGCAAGGAGACCAATTGACATAGAAAATGTGTACTATACAAGGAGTTTATGGTGGATATCAAAGTATCACCTGGATGCAAAAGGTTTTTTATGGGCAGCCTCCAGAGGTGTTAACTGAGCTACTGTCCTTCAGTATCATTCTATCAGTGAGAGAAGATATTAGTCACCAACTACAAAATCAGTTCCAAGAAGCATCTGAAGGTTTGACCGCCTCTTTATAGCTGATCCAAAACTCTGGAGTCTACGACATGGGCTGGACATTTGGCAAGAATACATACTCTCAAGAGCTGTGGGAATTCCTGCCCCAAGCCCAGTGGAAAATGCCCTAAAGAGGGAATATTCTGCTTCTTTGGAGATATCTCATAGGATCTCACTCCTGGATCTCAAGCCTACATCAAATCAATGAGGCACTGAGACGCAAGAGATAGAGTAACAAAGCAGATGGTATCTTGAGAGAATAGAATCCTCCCATGTTATTCTGGCACTTCCACCTCTAAGATATTAGTCAGAGTTTTCCCAAATGTGGCAGTTCCATTTGACTTTTGCACAAAAAGGGAGAAGGGGTTTCTTTTTATCTTAACTAGTTCTCTAGTTCCTGGGGTGTGCAGTAACTCCTAGGAACCAGAGTGTGCCAGCTGATGTGGGAAATTAACATTTGAAAAAATATTGGGTAAACTTTTTTTGTACACAGTTAAGTAATTTCTGATTAGAGTTTGCAAAATAAGGGCTAGATCCCACAAGGTGTTGAGTGCCCTTAACTCCCACTAGCTTCAGTGACAAGTGAGGGTGCACAGCACCCCCCACGATTTGCTCAGCAGTTGCAGGATAATGCCTAGATTAACTTTACAAAAATGGAAGTGTTAAGTGGGGTAATTTGGAAAAAGGAGGCAGAAAGGAGCAGAGGAAGAAAAAAAAATCAGAAATGGTCTAAAGGAAAGTCTCTTAATTAAATCATGCAGTAAACCTACAATAGGATAAAAAATAAACAATTAAAACACAACTAGGAAACTAAGTGAGAAGAGTATTAATAAATCTACAAAAAAAATAAGGGAAGTTGTTTATATATCATCCAACAAAACTGGCAATATTTTTCTATTTTCATGCCACTACTATAAAGAATACAAAAAGAGACTAATCTGATCCTAGTAAACACAGTTACTACTTTGTAAATTTCAGTAATGTCCTGAGGCCAATTTTCCCACTTTCTCATATCCAATATTAAATTGCCTGATTGAAGCAAAGCCAGAAAAAATAATTCCATAACAACATCTGACTAGATTCTAAGGATTTTTGTAGGAATAGAAAATACGACTGGTCAAATCCTGGACAGTCTTTAGCTGAAAGTTTCTCTCTTTCCCCTGAGTTACAGGCTAGAGACCCTGTGGCTGGACTGGCTAGCTGTCTGCATTCATGCCAATTTAGAAACCCCTGCTTACTGAATTCCACTGGAACCATAGCTGCCCCTGTTCAAGAGAAGACATGGCTGTTTGAAAGCTGGGACTTGACATACCTTTTCCAGGCAAGGAGAGGAGTTTTAATTCTTTTAGCAAGATAACCAAGAATAATCAACATGAGAAGCCACCAGTTAAAACCTTTTAGAAGTCAATTGCTAGATCTATGAATGATGCTCTTAACTGGATACAGGTGGATGCTATTTTAAGTTCTATATCTCATGCATATAATAGTAGATAGTCATTCTGTTAGTATGGAAATAGATAATGGCTATGCTCTATTAAACGTTGTGGCCTTTTGAAATCTTATGGAGGAACCTGCCTGCATCGATTTTGCACGAGTTGCGGTTGCAGCTGCTGCTTGAAGACCTAAACCCAGTGTCCACCGTGACTGTCAGCCTCCGACAGACTAAACACCCGCCGTCGTCCTTTCCTGCCAGACCTTACTAGAGGAAAACACAGTGATATATCATACAAAGGCTTTCACAATGAAACAGAAGGGAAACTGGAATGGACACAAAGGATAAATATTAGAGTATCAACAAGTATAAGTGACAGGGACTTATTCATAACTGCTGGTATTCTAAGTGGTATCTTAAGTCACATCAAGAGTCTTGTAAGTTAGGAAAATACTTCTGAAGGTAGTGTGTGTGTGTGTGTATTTAGTGTTCCTTACAAACCAATTAAAATCATGTTATTTTGTTACCTACGTATCTGGAGATTTACTTCTGGTATTTAGGGCCAGATCCTGCAATTCTGACACCAGCTGAACTCCCACTGAAGTCACAGGAGGCAGGATTGGTAGGCTTTTACACTGTAATCTGGCCAGACACATTAAAAATATTAAACAGAACCAATCTTTTAGAAATGCTGGTGTGGTAGTAATATTCCGATCCCTCATTGGCAATAAATTATAGGATAGCATGTGCTATTTTTTCAAAAGGATAATATTTTGGACAATCCAATATTTCTACTTCAAGACATGTAACTGAAATATTGCACTTGGATTTTAACAAAGCCAAGGGCAGTATTTTAGAGAGATATCTAGTGAAAACCAGCAGTTAAGAAAAGAGAAAGTCTGCTTAGCACATAGGTAGGGTTCTAGAAAAGAAACTTTAGTTAAAAGTATTTTTGTACCTAGTTAACAGAGAGGATTACTAGCATAACAGAATTGAAACACCACCACAGTTACGTTACTTGAATCACAAATGGAAGGGACAGAGGAGGTGTCAGCAAGATGGCCTGCATTGCTTTTTTACAGGATCCCAGTGCTCAGAATTTTGGAATATATATTCTCTACAAATCAGAATGCAAATTACTCTAACTCAGCAACAAAGGACTATCCTTTCCATTTTAATCCATTCACTTCCAAAGCAACTTCTGCCCCAACTAAGAGCGCAGTACGCTGTAACTGGTGCACAAGAAGGAAAAAACCTCCTGAAATCCCAAACACTCATTACTTAGTGCTGGGTTATATATCTCCAGGTTCTGTTACCATCCCTTAAATATTTTCTAAAAGGAAGATCAGCTGCATTTTATGACTTGACAGTTTTAAAAATACTCAGTAAAATATGGTGTAACAATGAATATATACTGTAGGCTAGTATATGAATTCTACACAAGTATAAAACATCCCTATTCCATTTACTATACATACATAAGCACATTTAATAATACAATTTTCAGTTACTGACAGCAAAGGGGCTACATTTAAGCTCAAAAGGCATAATGATGAAGGTATGACTACCAGGAGAACGTTTTCATCTTATACACAGCAACTGTTCACATGGGCATGTTACTTCATGGAAGGTCACAAGTATAACAAGTAAAAAACCTGCTAGCAATGCATGTGACTTGTTTGGACTGTATTGTTTGCTCTTTCCCTCTCGGGACTTTCCTTTCTTCCAGTACACAACAACTTCTGCTTTTTCACTTCTACGGAACAATCAGAGATATTGCAAGAGTTACATTTAACCCAGGGGTGGGCAAACTACAGCCTGGGGGCCACATCTGACCCTCCAGATGTTTTAATCTGGTCCTTGAACTCCCGCCAGGGAGAGGGGTCATGGGCTTGCCCCGCTCCGCATGTGCTGTGACTTCCGGAAGCAGCGGCATGTCCCTCCTGCGGTCCTACGTGTAGGGGCGGCCAGGGGACTCCGCACTCTGCCCCTGCCCCAAGCGCCATCCCCACAGCTCCCATTGGCCGGGAACTGTGGCCAATGGGAGCTGCAGGGGCAGCACCTGCAGACAGGGCAGAGCGCAGAGCCACCTGGCTGCGCCTCCGCATAGGAGCTGGAGGGGAGACATGCTGCTGCTTCCAGGAGCTGCTTGAGGTAAGCACCGCCTAGATACTGCACTCCTGACCCCTTTCCGCCCTCCCAGCCCAGAGTACCCTCATACACCCCAAACCTCTCATCCCCAGCCCCACCCCAGAGCCCGCACCCCCAGCTGGAGCCCTCACCCCCTCCCACACTCCAACCCCCAATTTCATGAGCATTCATGGCTCACCATACAATTTCCATACCCAGATGAAGCCCTTGGGCCCAAAAGTTTGCCCACCCCTGATTTTACCCCACAATTTTCTACACGAGGACTTAAAGGTTGCTATAACCTTAAAAGTCTCTGGAATATAACATTAGCTGTCAGTGTGTCTAGTAGCATTAAGAGCTGGAAAAAGCTTAATTTATTCACAGAAAAGTAGATAAATAACCACTGTCCTCTCCCAGTGACTGAAATATATGTAATAGGCATGTAATATACAAAACATTTAGTGACCTCCCTTGTGAAGGAAAAGTACCATGGTTCTGTTTGATGTAAGCAGAAGTGGTAGCAAATAACTCACTGTATATTAAAAGTTTCTGTGCTTCCCCCTCGCCCCCCCTTCTTCTTGGGATAGGTTCTACAAAGAATGTTTTGGTATTGAATTGGTAATTACAATGTGCAACACTTTGTTTCACTAGAGTGAAAGGCAAAACTTTTTTAGTTCTTTGTAGTTCCTAATTGACTACTAGTTGTACAATATAAACAGACTTTTTTCAAATGTGACTTTATTACAAATTTACATGCTATTATAATGTCAGAAGTCTATTCCATTCACTGTTTTCTTTTCCAGAGCACGCCAATCAGATTCCATGTTTTTTAAAATCTTTGTCTCTGACAACGAGAACAGTTTGGAAGCTGAACTGAAAGTTTCACTTCATACACTGCAATTCTGGATAAGTGCTATAATTGGGCAGGTGTGGCATTTCTAGTTTATTACGCAACTTTCAGTAATTTGGGCACATTACGCAAGTGTCCTGTTGGAAAATGCCTTTAACAGCTATTCAATGGGATAAAAATTTCCCAGTATAATACATTTGAAATGTTGATTAACCATCAAAAGAGTCAGCATCAATAGTGCACAGAATTCCAAAAAAAATGTGGACTCTTTATGAATGATTATTGAAAAAAAATCAATAGCTTTTCAAACTTAGTTTTTTAAAACAGCAAAAACAATTATACGTGTATCAGCGTATTTTTTCTAACCCCTTATTTTAAAGATTTTATAGCAGTCTTTACAAATAGGAATGGAATGAAACTTAAATAAGATCACTATGTGCAACAGAGATGAGCCAGATGCAGTATAAACAGATCGCAGGTATCCTGCAAACCTACCCCTATGTGAATCAGCTCTGAGAAAACACAGTTGCAGTGATCTTTCTCCTGGAATTGCTGCTCCTAGAAGGGGTACTTCCTGGAAGGGCGCTATTGTTTCTACATTCAGGGTAAATCAATGCATTGCTTTTAAGAGTACAAATTTCAGAGGCAGCACTTCCAGAAGTGAGGGCATTGAAAATTGTTCCAGAAAGCTATTCAGGGGAAGATTAAGAGTCAAAATACCCTAAACCCAGAATCCTGGAGCTTTAGAATCTCCTCCTATCTTGCAAGGTTATTCAGTGAAACATAATGAGATCCTGTTTTTTGTTATTGTTTTTTTTTAATTAAGGATTTCTTCCTGCAGAACAGTAGAATTTTAAAGCTGTACCTGTGAACTAATCAGAACATGGGTTACGTTTAGCGTGGGTAGCTCACTCAATCTAAGTGATTTAGCAGAATTTTAAAGTGCAGACACTGAAAAACAGTGTAGTTGTAACCATGTCGGTCCCAGGATATTAGAGACATGAGGTGGGTGAGGTAATATCTTTTATTGCATCAACTTCTGTTGGTTAGAGAAGCAAGTTTTTCAGCCTGAAGAAGAGCGCTGTTTGGCTCGAAAGTTTGTCTCTCTTACCAACAGAAGTTGGTCCACTAAAAGATATTACCTCACCCATCTTGAAACTGAAAAACAAACATTTCAAAACCTTACTCTGATATCTGTAGTCAACAATAAAAAGCCTCACCTGACTGAGCACTTTAAATTACAGGATTTAAATACATAAAAGTTTACTGGAAACAGCACACTCAATGAATAGATTTTGGAAGATTGTGAACTATGGCATTGGCTATACATTATAATCTTTCCATATTATTACATAGGGAAATATCTGCTTTTGATTAACTGAATTGTTCATGGATGTCACGGCTGGTCACAAATAAAAGACATCTGCCTGAAATAAGTAATATGACTCAAGGCAGGAATTCAGATACTTGAGTTTGGGGTGACCATGTGTAACCAGAAACCATTATTTAATAGTATAAAATAAGGAAGCGCTATATGAATGAAGAATGCTTTGTCTTGCTGTAGAAGGATTCCTTCTGATAGTGGTAGAAGACCTAACTTGCAGGCTCTTTGGATCTTCTCTTTTTGTCTGTACAGCATACAGCACAACGGGGCCTCTGGGCACTACTGTAATATGTGTAACAAAAATTAATGTATGGTTCTCATTTTTTTCTCAGCCACCATTGACAAAAGTCAGATTGCACGTTTACTTATGCCGGCTCATGATCACACTAAAGATTCAAGTACAGCATATAGATATTAGATGGAGTTTTGGGGTCGCATTCTCCTCAGCTATATAAGCATATGTTTCCTATCTATCTTGCATATGAGGCTATTTCAGACTGGAGCTTTTGAAAATCCTACCATCTCTTCATTCCCTCAGTCCCCACATACTTCTCTCTCTTTTGACAGATCCAATTTCAGCGATCACCAGTGAACAAGGACTGTAACACTAAATAAAATGATAAATGTCTACAAGGTCATTTCAAAACTTGGAGCAAGAGACGAGTTTTAGTTTAGCACTTTGACTTTCATATTTTGTTTTATTTCAAAATGGTGCTGCAATGTACCTCTACATGTTGTAGATAGAGGTGAGGAAAAGGATTATGACAGGCAGTGATTTTTTGTGACTAATGGTAGAGTATTTTCATCTCTGACAAGGTGGTTATGTCCTCAGTCTTTCAGATGAGGACTTTTCAAAGTGAATGCCTTAACCTCCATTTAGGATGACCGTAGGGTGCTCTACACGGGGTTTCACCTGCAGGCTGCTCTATACGGGGTTACACTCACTCTTGAGATGATGTAGGATGCTGCAGCCCACTTAAGTGGCACTTCTAGCTGGGAGAATAATCACCTGTGCTATGTGATCTGTACTGATCGCTAGGTTGTTTCTTGGTAAAGTTTATGTTTTGATTATGACCTTAAAGCCCTAAGTGCTTTGGATCCTAGCGACCTTAGAGACAGCATCACTCCCCAGGTGACTACAAAGGTCATGATCATCAGAGATAATGGAGTTTACAGCTTCTTGGATAATGGCTGGCAGCAGGCATTTTCAGAAGGGATCTTAGACTCTAACTCACTTCGCTTCTTGACAGAGTAGAGTCCAGTCAGTTAAATGTATGAGAATTATGCATTTTCCCAGAGATTTTATTTGTGGCAGACAGAGAGCCTCTTGGATTTTGATAGAAACACGAAACAGTATTTTATAAATACCCAGAAGCTTGAGAAGTGATTTTAGTCAAAACTAGTCATCTCAAAACTAGGCTTTTTTCTGGTGTCCATTTTTTTAGAGAGTGATAGTTGAATGGACCTTCACTTTCTGATCAGGTGGTAATTAAGGACAATCAGACACTGAAAAATTAAGCAACATTTAAGATGTGTCTTAGGGTAAGTATGCAGGGTCTGTACCTCACGACTGAGTAGCTATGTAAACACAGAATATATTATCTTTTACAAAGTTATATACTTGCTGACGATTTTTTAATGCCACTTTAGTGGTACTGGAGTACATAGTAATTCATGCAACTTAACTCATTCTACTTCTGAAATGTTGATATAAGGTTGATGTTACCACATTTTTTAGCATTTACTAATTGGTTTAGAATTTCATAAGTGTGGATCATGGAATGCTTGTCATAACCATCAAAAATCCCATTTTTAGAACACAGCCCCCTGCAATAAATTTAAACAGGTCTCAGGCTCCCCAAAGGATGCTAATAACTGAATGCCTATAAGTTATGATCAGAAAATGAAATGGCCACTCAGAATGGTAATCAGAATTGCAGGTGACTATCCACATTTCAAGCCTGGGAATGGCTGCCCAACTTGATTATTTTTAAAAACAGTCACCTCAATTGTCAAAACCAAAACTGGTTAGAGTGGAGCAGGTGCACAGTGGAAGCATTTCAAGGAGAATCTGCTGCAGAATGACTTTCCTGCCTTGCCCCCAGCTCTGTGTCTTAGCAGCTCCCTGACTCATATATGTCAATGAAAGGATTGATGTAATGAATGTTGAGGATAAATGCCAGTATGGGATGTTCTACAAATACTTCACAAATAAAGGAAGAATGGAAAAGGGAGTCCTAACTGGGATTGCAAAAAGGAATCTCATTGTAAATATTCAAATTAAGCACTTTTACACAATGGCGTCACTGTGGTTTGCTGTGTAAAACCTTTGAAAGCAAGTTACTATTGTCAGTTAGCATACGTGCCAACTTCCTCTCCGCCAGTGGAATACATGAATTTGGGTCTCCTCAAATGCCTGTTTAACCAAAAGGCCACATTAATCATGGCCCAACTTTTACTATATAACAACCTAGATACATGTGCTGAAATATATCATGTTTGCCCTATAGATACCATACAAACATAACTGTCAGATTTAAATATACAAAAGTGAGTCATTTTATTTTTAAAAATAAAAGGCACAACCACAAAAAGTTGTAAAAGTGGTACGTGAACAAAACCATTCAGCTGCATAAAGTTACACTGAGTGTAGAATCTCACACTTATTCACAGCTGAACAGATGATTATTCTCCAGCTGATCAGATGATGAGCTATAAATCTGCCGTATTATAATTACAGGTAAAACAAACTAAAGCAGACAACCTGCTAGCAGACAAAGAGAAAGCACGTAAAGGTGTATTTTTCAACCAGCATTCAAATCAACACTGACAATAGTAAAGTATCCACAGACTAAAGTAGTCCAGAAAGCTGAAAAGATCTTCACAATCTGTGTTGCAAAAACATCCCAGGATAGTAAAAGAGGTCTGAAACACGACTTACAATTTAATCCAGTCAGCATTTATAAAATAAACCAGTGTGCACCCTGGATGCCAAGACTTAAAACAGTGATTTACCTGATGGACTCTGTGCCGTAGAAGGAGTGGAAGTTGAGCTGGCAGTAACTGAATCACAGTGTCCAGTACTCCCACTACCACTGGAAGAAGGAGATGGCGATGAAAGCGGTGATGGATTGTGCTGGTTTATACACTGGGCTACTGCAAAACCTACAAGACAAGACAATGGAATTTAATAACAGAAATAATTCAAGTTGGACAGTATGGTAAGGACAGATTGGGAAAGGGTGAGAGGCACAATAGTGCCTCACATTAGTGTTGATTCAGTTCACTGACAAAGGAGCCACCTAAAGGTCAATTGCAGCTGAGAAGGTCTTCTGAAGAAGATCTTCTGCAGTTTCCACAGTATGCATCCGATGAAGTGAGCTGTAGCTCACGAAAGCTTATGCTCAAATAAATTGGTTAGTCTCTAAGGTGCCACAAGTACTCCTTTTCTTTTTCTGAGAAGCAAAGTGACTCCTAACTGAAAAGTGCTACTTAAACCGGCAGGAGGATGATGGAAGAAGGATGTAGAGATGCTTGGTAAGAGGCACAAAATCAATCTGTGAAACAAAATGGACTGTCAGTGATCCAATGCATGCTTGAAAGCTATTGCCAATTTTCAGTAAATACTGGGGGGCACAAATCAGCGTTCATGTCGCACTCCCCATCAGTACCCGACCCGGCCCAAGCCGAGGAAGCTAATGATCCAACCGGTGGACCAAATTCCAGGTGATGAATCCTGGTCACGTGCCCCCCGAGGCACGCTGCGCATAAGCTAAGTAGTAGTAAATACTGGCTTCAATAAATTCAAAGATGACCTGCCAAAAAGAGAGCTTTACTAAGGAGACAACTGTCTTTTGTGAGGCTGAAAACCTGTAGAGCACCTCAGTGGAAAATCACTACCCTTGGGGAATATTATCCGTCAAACCAAATGCTGACATTAGATGCTTTTCCAGCTGTTTGAGAGACTTTCCCAAGTCAGAATACAGCAGAGTACTACATAATAGCTGATCTTCTCAATTAACAAATATTTTTAACCCTCTATTCAAGAAATGTAGTGTACAGATTCTATTATGCAGCATTTTTCTATGTCCTTGTGGTACACCATCATCACTTGAAGTCTATTGTCTCTGCAGAAGATGTGGAAACATATTTAGCACTATTTGTTTGGCCTATGCTTTTTAAACACTTGACATCTGTGCTTTTTTAAACAAGAAAAATGTCTAACAGTGAACTTGGAGTGAAATGCCTGCAAGCTGCCTGAACAATTTTTACAAATATCATAATCAAGGCTCAAACACAAAGTATACCGTAAATAGGAAAAACAGATGACCAAAAAATACCACCATCGCTAAACAGAGTAAAAGAGGCTGTTAGAGACAAAAAGACATTCGTTAAAAATGGAAGTCAAATTCTACTGAGGAAAAAAGAAAGATGCATAAACTCTGGCAAGTCAAATGTAAAAATATAATTAGGCAGGACAAAAGTATTTGAAGAGCAACTAGCAAAAGACACAAAAACTAACAGCAACGTTTTTTTTTTTTTTAATTAAACAGTAATAAATCACCTGGACCAGATGGTATTTACTCAAGGGTTCTGAAGGAACTCAGATATGAAATTGCAGAATTACCAATGGCTATCATTTAAATTAGCTTCTGTACAAGATGACTGGAGGAGAGCTAACATAATGCCAATTCTTTTTTTAAAAAAAAGGCTCCAAAGGTGTTCCTGATAATTACAGGAACCTAACTTCAGTACCAGGAAATTGGTTAAAACTATAGTAAAGAACAGAATTATCAGTCACATAGATTAACACAATATGTTGGAGGAAAAGTCCACATAGATTTTCTAAAGGGAAATTACGGCTTGCCAAGCTATCAGAGTTCTTTCAGGGTGTCAACAAATATGTGGACAAGAGAGATCCAGGTGATATCACATACTTGGACTTTCAGAAAGCCTTTGACAAGGTCCCTCACCAAAGATTCTTAAGCCTAGTAAGGAGTCATAGAATAAGACGGAAAGTCCTTTCATGGATCAGTAACTGGTTAATAGATAGGAAACAAAGGGTAGGAATAAAAGGTCAGTTTTCACAGGGCAGAGAGGTAAATAGTGAGGTCCCCCAAGAATCTGTACTGGGACCAGTGCAGTAAATGATCTGAAGAAGGGGTAAATAGTAAGGTAGCAAAGTTTGTAGAGGATACAAAATTACGCAAGGTAGTTAAGTCCAAAACTGACAGTGAAGAGCTACAAAGGGATGTCACAAAACTGGGTGATTGAATTTCATCTGACATTTTGTTGTCCAGTGTTGATAAATGCAAAGTAATGCACACTGGAAAACACAATTCCAACTATATATACAAAATGATGAGATCTAAATTAGCTGTTACCACTCAAGAAAGATCTTGGTGTCATTGTGGACAGTTCTCTGAAAACATCTGCTCAGCATGCAGCAGCAATCAAAAAAGCTAACAGAATGCTAGGCACCATTAGGAAAGGGATAGATAAGACAGAAAATATGACAATGCCACTATATAAATCCATGGTATGTCCACACCTTGAATACTGTGTGCAGTTCTGGTTGCCACATCTCAAAAAAGACATATTAGAGTTGGAAAAAATACAGAGACTGGGAGTGTTCATCTTGGAAAAGAGACAGCTAAGGGGGGATATGTTAGAGGTCTATAAAATCATGAATGGTGTTGAGAAAAAGTATTTTTTTACCCCTCCACATAGTACAAGAACCAGGGGTCACCCAACAAAATGTATAGGTTTAAAACAAACATAAGGAAGTACTTCTTCATACAATGCACAATCAACTTGCGAAACTCATTGCCAGGGGATGTTGTGAAGGACAAAAGTATAACTGAGTTACAAAAAGAATTAGATACGTCCATGGAGGAAAGATCCCACAATGGCTATAAGCCAAGATTATCAGGGATGCAACCCCCTGCTCTGAGTGTCCCTAAATCTCTGACTGCTAGAAGCTAGGACTGGATGACGGGGTGGATCACTTGATAATTGCTCTTTTCTGTTCATTCCCTCTGAAGCATCTGGCCATTGTCGGAAGACAGGATACTGGGCTAGATGGACCGTTGGTCTGACCCAGTATGGCCATTCTTATGACTATTAGTAAAACCGAACAGTCTCCCATTTTTCCTTCTACCCAAAACACAGAGTGTTTTGTGGCTCTTTACAAGGGACAGGGCACAGTGAGTGGCAGTTCTTTTTAGCTGCTTAGGAAGATTTTCTGCTAGTCTGTATTATAGCAATCACTGTGTATTCTTTTTGCCTCACACATCATTGCAAGAGTCATTTAGTGCTGCTACTTGCTACAGGAGTAATAATGATGAAGGAAGATACAGAACACAACAGCTCAATCTACACCCCTTTAAGGCCGGGTTTCAGTATTCCCACGTTAGTGATGGGGAAACAGAAGTCCAGGCCATTTTCAAAACTGACCGTTATTTTTGGGTACCCAACTTTTGACACCCAAAACAAAATTTGCAGACATAGTGAGCACCTGCAGCATGAACTGACATCTGATGAAACTGTAGGTACTGAAAACCAGGTCCTCCTGTCTCAACCCGAGCATCCAAAGACTGAGGTACCCATAGTGAGTGGACACTTTTGAAAATTTTAGCTTGAGTGATTTGCCCAAGGCCACAATGCAACTCAGCAGCAAAGCCAGGATTAGAAATTATGAGTTCTTGATATACCCAAATCCCCTAGATCAGAAAGAAAAATTGTTCTTGTCTTTAGAAGTTTGCCCAATACTGAAAAGGAGTTTCATTTTTATATACAGAGGTAGTGCCACAAACTTAAGTACGACAGACTTTCAGCCTTTTGGCTACTAGTCTTCTGATGCAACTGCTGTACTGTTATCCATTCATATTTCACTGAAATCAAGTAAACATTAGGATTTATCTACTCAATTCTCCGGGACTGCCAGTGTGTTTCACCTGGATGTACCTGATCATTCACCAACACTAAACAGGTAACAGATTTAGCTCTCACTGATGATACAGTGTCTGAACCTCACAACTTGGTATAAGGGTTTGACAACAAATGTGTTTATTAACTTTAACATCTTGAACCCTCTAGATTGTTGGACTTTCAGATTATCGTAAGATGCAATTACACAAATACAAAGCATACTGTCTGACCTATGAGCATATCAATATTCATAAGCTTCTGGTATGACTCACTCTCACTACAGATTTAATCTAACAATTTGAGGAATCCCTTGATTAGGACAGTATTTTATTATGACAATTATTGGATAGTTATTGGGTGAGGACTGTTATTGGCTATCACTGATTGGGTGTAGACTGATGTATTGTGTGTGGGCTTGTTTATAAAAAGGTAAGCTTAGTGATTCTTTCTGTTAAAATGTAGCCATCCAATGCCAATTCAAACTGATAGTCCAATGCAGATGATGCTACTTCTGTGGAGTTCAGAATTTTACTACCAAAGCTTTCCAAAGGTCATTAAAAGAGACTACTAGTTAGTAGAAGAGCATCACCTAGATATGATAGTTTTAGAATGCTGCCTTAAGAGAAGGTGTTCAGATATGGTCTATTGCTTGTCTGCATGAATGTCCTTGTATGATTTTGCATTTTGCAAACTCACAAGGGGGCAAGGATTTCACTAATGCAGAAACAGATGTTCTAACAATGGTCAACCAATATAAAGCTACAAGAGCCATTTTTCTTCAGAGAGAGATGGCATTGCAGCTATATACAAGTTGTTCAGTTAATGTCATTGTTTCCTCAGCTCTGGCACCTATAATTAAGGGGATTTATACATTTTAAAGGACAGAAAGGATTGTTAGACCTCCTGCACAAATCAGGCCACTGCATTGCACCAATATTTGCTGTGGAGGGACCTGTTCTTTCCTACTATACAAAGGAACACTGATATTGTATTCTGAGATTGCTTGACCTCATTTGTTCAGAAGGGTGGACAACAGTGTTTGTTTCTCCACTTCCAACTCTTCAGAATGACTTGCATGAAATGGACTATGAAACAGTTCTATGTGACAGCCATACTTCTGCTGAATAGGTTGAAAGAATGAAGAATCCTATTCTGCAGGGTGCTGCAAAAGATTTCAGTTGAAGCCCATAATTATACTGTGCAGTTTTTTAAAGGGATAAGTATATGCTCAATAT